CTTGTGTTCACTTAGGGGGAAAAAAAATCAGGATGTTGTTTACCTGCTTAGGTAAGTGGCGGCTTCCTTAGTGAAGGGAAGATGTTGAGTTTGTTTTGAGATGGGTAGTAGTATTGTGTGTGTGATTAGTTGTTTGGGGGTAGGTTTTTTTGGTTTTGTATCTGTCTGACAAAGACTGTCTCCATGCCAAATGAAGGGCAGTTACAGTTTCTTCGTTCTGCCAAACTCTGCACGCTGTGGGAGATTTTCTCTTGTGTACTGTGGAATATGCAGTAAAGCCGCATGGAATTAATTTTGCTTCTGAAAACTGGGATCAAAATGACATTTTCATAATTCCTCACCTGCCTCCTTATTATCTTTTTATTGTTGAGAAAACCATTTTCAAATGGACAAATAACAAAACCCCACTGTGATGTTCCCGGGGGCAAATACAGTTTGGCTTTTAGTGATGCATTTAATACCTTGTGTTGCTTGATTTTTCAAGTCCAACACATTTCTGCTCAGCTTTTGTGATAGGTTCTTTTTCCTTCACCAATCTGCATTGCCCCTGAAGAGGAGGAGGTAGAAATAATGAACTGCTGTTAAAAGATCTCTTCTCCAACCAGCTTCACTCAGTGAAGCACTGTTTTAAAAGTTTGCAAAAGTGCCACGTGAATGGTTGGTCAGTGGGTTTAAGGATTTCCTTTTTTAAGAAAAACTAATGAAAGACTATTTCCAAGTGAAAATTTTATTTTTAAATATTGAAGGGAACTTGTGAGATAGTTAGGATTCCTTTTTTTTTGGTCATAACCCTGAAACAAACTGGAAAATAGGAAACTGTTTCAATTGGATCCATAGTTTCATCAAACAGGTTTAAGTATCTCTAAAAAACCCAAACCAAACCCTAAAAAAACTTTGCTATATGAATTGTGAGTGGGAACACTTTGAAATGGCAAAGGGTAAGGGTAGAGCTGCAACTAGAAAAATGAAAGAGTTGAAACGCACCATTTGGTAGCTCCTGACTTGTTAAAAACTGACAACCTCTGTAAGGTTGGCAGGGCACGTGTCAAAAGAAGTAACTGTTGGTTGCTCTACTCGGTCTTCGCTTGCCATGGGGTGGTTTACATGAAGCATGTAGGAAGTGTGTTCCCTGCTGGATGTGGAGTTGTTGGGGCAGCATTCCAAGGAAGGCTGAGCTGTTGGGACAGCTTTGCTGCCAGTGAGGAGCTGTTCCTGCATCTCCCACTTCTGACACAGGCTTCAGTTGCCCTGATGTCGGTGCCTGGCTTGTCTCTGTGAGCCTGTTCAGCTGTAACTGCGTTAGATTATAAACTCTTGGGGTTTTTTCCAGATAGTTTTTTATCAGGTTAGAAAGCTTGAGCTGGCTGGCTGAAGGTTGAAGATGGTGTGCTGAAGAGGTGGGACTGCCTGACTGGAAGTGGAAGAGAATGAACTGGCACTTTCAGTAGCAGTGAGCTATTAAATGAGCTCATCTGTAAAACCTCTCTCTCTCTCCCCCTCTTGCTTAGAGATTAACTTGCTGATAGGAAAAAAAAGGGAGTGAACTGGGTAACTAAGTAATTTTACGCTTCAATATAAATCGGTAGAAATGTTGTCAAGATTTGAGTAGTAAGAAAGCGTCCGTTCTTAAAAAATTATGCCAAAGCCAAAAGACTGTCTCAGATTTTCAAATTCTGTCAACTTTAACTGGAACTGGAAACAGACTTTCAGTAACATTGGTGATACAGTCATGCTGATAAATACTAGACTTTCCAACACTGAAATTTGAAAGAAAAATCAAAACACTGAATCAGATGCTTGAGCTTAAAGTAAAAGCTGCATCTTTCTGTGGTGTAGTTTTGCCTCTTAATTGGCAATTTAAAGAGAAATGAAGCCCATCGGACTTGCCTAGACGTGTCTGAGTCTGGCCTTTTAAATTTACCACTGTAAGCCAGAAGTGGGTGCTGAAATCCAAGGAGTTATGCTGCAGTCTTACAGCTATTTATTTAGGGAAGCAGGCAATTTTACTTTATATGTTTAAAGGCAAAACAACGTTTTGTTCAGTTTGTGAGGGGTGCTACAAAATGCAAAGGAGATGTGAGAAATGAGGTCTTTGCTCTCTGTTCAGACAACAAAGATAACTGAAGGAAGGAAGAAGAAGGAAACCTTACGAGATTAAACCATGCTAAAATTGTGATATATGGGAGTTGCGTGTGTCTCTAAATATTGTGATTGAATAGGCATTTAAAATGTCACAGTACGTGGTGAAAGTCAGGCATCTGCAACTGACTTCAGCTTGATAAATAAATGGTAGCTAGTGCATTCTGCAATAGCTGAAGTGGATGTATTAGTTACCTGGTTAGCTGTATATGCTTATAAATCAAATTCATAGGCATTTTGGTTTAGCATGGAATTTGTATCCATTCTAGTTTCAGTGCAGTAATTACAGTAGCTTAATTTTAGTGAAAGTAGACAGTGTCTTTTAATTTTTATTGCCATTATGTCAGTTGTTGAGATGGACATGTAATAGTAAAGAAGCTATTCATTATCTCTTGCACTTGTAGTTAAAACCTTTGGGGAACATTCAGGAAAACAGTGGGAGAGGTTATATAACATGCACTTAAAGGGTTAAGGGGAAAAAAAATAAGTAGGCTGTTGCCAAGTTAGAAGGGGATGAAATCCTAGGCCATGTCAATTTAAGTTAATTTGCTTTGTTAGTTGCTTTCAGCTATGAATGGTTGGAAGTAGGCTACCCAAGTTAGAGAAGGAGGCTACCCAAGTTCCTGTGCAGTTTATTTCTTGCAGCATGGGGCAGTGCTTGGCCGTAACATTAAGGGGTAAAGAACTGATCACTCATGGGGTCACTGAAATGAAACCTCTTGCACTAGTTGGTTGGCTGCATAGGTTTTTCACAGGGCTTCAAGGATGTTACTGTTTGATCTCTGAAACAGGACGACTTGTTTATTTTAAAATAAACTATTTCTCTCTGTTCAGTAGAAATGAGAAATACTTTCACTGTTTGCTGAGCTTTTAGAAATGAGAATTGAAGAATCGTTATAACTTACAACAGACAAAATTATTGGATACCTAGACCCTGAAATGCTGGCTTTTAGTTCAGCTACATGCATGGCTAAAAGCAGTGCAAAGTGTTTTGCTTTGTTGGATGTTAACATAGGCTTATGCCCTGTTAGTATCCTACTTTTGGCATGTTTTTAATCAGAATGTTTAATTTATTGAACTTACTGATTCTACTGTTTGTAATTTCTCAATAAATTTAAAAGCTAAAGAGAAAAACTGGCTTGATGATGGAACACTGATCATACAAAGATGCTGTGTGGCTGATGTTAGGGGGTAGGATAAGCATCTTCATGCTGAGTTATCTCTTGCAATTACAATTGTGCTGTAAATATGCCTTGTGAGAGAATTTATGTTACAAACCTATGCTGTTAAAGGAGTGATGCCATGCATTTCAGATCAATTTTTTTTTCTTTATGACTTTAGTCTTACTGTCTAAGGGTTGTGTTAGTTTTAGACATTTGTTTTGAGTCCACATTTGGCCATAAGCGTTACGCGGCTCTGTTGGTGCGACACCAGAGATAGATAGCAGTGAAAAGTTGGACTGATCAGTTTTGATGAGAAAGATTAGTAGGAAAAGGGCGTACATTTGTTCACATTTCTTAAGCGATTTTAGATTACCTTGTGTGTATGAGTGTTCCTGCTGACGTTGACAGGGTCCATCACTGCTTGTCTGCTGAATTTGGTACAGTTAAGATTTCCACTAGGTACATGGGAGTAGTCACACAAACCTGCTTTTCACAGCGACTGTTGCCTCTTCAGTGTGAGTCATACTGTGCAGAGTAAAAAGTGAAAGCTCTTTTGGTGTGTTCTGCCTAATTGCTTGTTCTGTGTCTCTGCCAGTGCATTCTTACTTCTTACCGTAACGTCCCATTCAGCAGATGCTGTTAGTAGGAGTTCCGTTTAAAATTAGTTGAGATTTATGGATTTGTAAGTGCAAATGTGAAGGTGTCCGTAACTGGTTATGGATAGGGAATGTTTGTTCAACTTGGGAAAATATCTGTTGGTTTTTGTGTTTGTTTTTTTTTTTTTTTTTAATTTTTTGTTAAAGAATGCAACACTGAGTTTTTATTTTTACAAGTTTTCATAACTCTTGTATTTCATATCATCTGCCTAGTAGCAGCTTTTTACCTCCTGTTGCCTCTTGTGGTTTCTGCTTTCTTCCTTTTAGCGTTTTCAAGCTCAAATTCTTCATTTCAGGATTCTTAATTAGAATTCTGTGTTCTGATTTATCTGATGAGCAGAGTTGTAGAAGGCAGTTAGAAGCAGCAAAACCAAAATGACCACGTCTCCCTCCTGATATGTTGTCACAGACATTTGTCTGTCTCTCTAGTGTTTTTAGTTAAATATTTGACAAAATTACGTGTCACAAGTCATTTAAAGGCGTGGCTGTTTTGTGGACCAGCATTGCTGAGGAACAGTGGTTTTTGTGTTGCTTCCTAATGGCTCTCTTTGGCTTAAACCCCCCGTTGTCTCGTTGGACTGGAACCCAAGAGCTGGCAAGCTGCTCTGTACTGGAATGAGTGGTGCTTGGCTGGCGCTGTCTCCCTGTAGCCCCACTGCTGGCCCTGTTTCATTTAGTTCTCACCTTTCAATAGTAGTTCCAGAGCATTTGCTTGGCCTCAGGTGCAAAACCATCTTCCCTCAAGGGTTGTGTCCAGCAAGGCGTGTATACCCCCTCACATCCCAGCCATACCAAAGGCATGTCTGGCCTCCCCTTACGCTTCACACAATCTTTACATTTGTCTTACATTGAGCAAAAAACCTGTAATTAATGGACAGTTCCGAAATGGAAGCTTTTTAAAGAATGAGAGCTTGACTTTGGTTCTCTTGATAGGGCAGCTAGGGGTGGGTGCCTGCGTGTGTGTGTGTGTACACATGCATCAAAATACGGCTCTACTGTACTCGTGTTTGTATACATGCCTGTGTGTGTCTTTTTCTTAAAGATCTGGACGTTGGTAGTTGGTTACCTGCTGATGGTTTCATTCAAGTGGAATACAGGCACTGAACGTTACTTGAAAGCAATCTCTGTCCCTGTCTGGATTATGCTGCTCTTTCACTTAGGTGAGTAACAAGAAGTTGTTATTCTAATGCACCCACTGGGATTCTGCTGTCTTGCAAACAAAGCTACTTTGGGCTCTTCCCTAAATCTTTATGCTGGAGTCTTAGCTGAGAGGCAGGTGGTTTCCTCTGCTCAGTGATCCTGGCTGCATGTGGCCAGTGAAGAGCATTGGAGTAGAGGGTGGGAAGGCATCAAGATGCTGAGCAGCGTGTGTCTTCCACTCCTCCTGCCCAGTTTGTGCTTCCTATGGGTTTCTCTTGTTTGGCTCACAGACCTGGTGCTTATTCCCTGACAGTGAGGAAGGGCTGGGGTCACATGTGGGTGGATTTAGACTTCCAGTTGTGATGCTTTTTAATATTATTATTTTCTTGAGAGCCTGCTGTTAGCCAAGACTGAAGCTGTAAAATGCATTTAATAGTAGTAATAGAAGAGAAAAAAAATAAATCTGTTGGTAGTCAACAAGCATGTCGACATGATATCAACAATATCAGATAAATTTGCCAGTAATCCATATAATCTGTTAATACAAGATTATAGCAATAGTCTTAGATTTATTCTACATATTTAATAATATAGATTATCAGATTATATTATGGTGGGATGGTTTATAGTGGAAGTATCATGCAAATAATAAAAGACTATCATGATGGAAGGTTTCACAGCATACTTCATAATTTACTTTGCTTTAGCAGCAGGTTTCAAGGGTTGTTCTAACCATATGGGGACACTTCCCTGAGGTTTTGAGCTACATGTAACGGCTTTGCATTTGTTTACATTTCGACAGTCTTGTATTTGCTGGAAGTACTAGCTGAAAAGCCAAAACCCAAGAAGGCACTGCTTGATGCCACTCTCTGGAGATCTAACATAAATACAGAATTTTTGGGGAGGAACTTCATTTGCCTCTAATAGCTAAAATGTTTTTATTTTGTGTATATTTTAATGTAATTTTGCATGTTGTTTTTAAAATTGTTTTCTATGTCAGTGTAATTTAAAGTCACTGAAATTTGGAACAGTAACAACTTGGTTTATTAATTGAGAAACTTGTTCACCTGTGTTTTCTGGTATTCCTTTGCATGAAAGTAGAAAACTTCTTTGCTTTATGACACTTCTTAGTTTCTGCCCAGACTGTTCTTGGTTGATGTGGTGCCTTTCTTGGTTTTGCTAAATGTGGAGTTTATTAATGGCATAATTTTTCCTGTTTAAAAAAAAAAAAAAAGCCGAAACAAACAGCCCCTGTATCTTTCAGCTTCTGTGGCAGGTTCCTGGAGAATTCCTGTGTTTCTGGTTATAGTTGTTCTGATGACTGTAGGCATGTTGCACGAACAGCAGAATGGAAAGGAGTCTTCTGGTAAGGAATGCATCATTGTTTTATTGTTGGAGGCCAAAGTTCTGTAAAGTCAAGTGAAAGAATCTGGGCTGTATTAGTGTAAATTTGGTGTCATACAGATTGCAAGAATTTACTATAAGATTTTTAGTATGCTTGTTTCAACGTGGTTTACTCATGCTGAAGTGAATCTTTGATTCCTTACAGAAAATCATTGCAATGTACCGATGGTTCCTTTCCATGGCAAAGTAGTAACTCTCATTATCAAGCCCAATTGCTTATGTTTTACAGAGTCCTATATGTAACTTGAAGCGTAAAGAAAGCCCAGGAAATCCGAAATTGGAGGCTAATTTTGAAAGAAATGGTCAATATGGCTTTAGTAGCTCCTATGATATTGAGTATAAGAGAAACTGAGACAACCATCCAGCAGGTTTCTTACATCCGGTCATTTGTTTTTAAAATACCAGTTTCTTAAAGCTATGGTTTGTGTTTAGACTTGGAGAAAAATAGGTTTTGCCTGTTGTGAGTCAATTTTGCATAAAAGCAAATGTCAGGTGTTCCTTTTTGGTACTAGCTGTGTGATTACTTTGGTAAACTTTTTTCCTGTCTTGCTGGTTTAGTTTTCTTGAAAGTCATCATAATTTTGGTCAGTAAAACGGATTATCTGATGTAAAGATCTTTAGATTTATCAGACTGCCAGCAGCTGCGAATGACTTGGTTGGTAGCAGTTCATTAGCAAGGAAACTGCTAAGCAAGTAACTGGTTCTGTGTTTTGGCTCCAGGTGTACTGTAATACTAAAATTAACAGCCCTCATTCCTGTTTGATTGTCTTGACTTCATACAATACGTTTTAAAAACTAACAGTGTCTATCCATATAATTTCTGTTGCTTGACACCTTTGGTGGGTATCAAGCAACAAAGAAAACATTTTAAGACTTAAGCTTTTCTTTATTTACATCCACATGTATATTTTACAGGGGCAGAGCTTCCTGGTCAGATGATTTCCATTGCTGCTTCAACAATTGCCATGGCAATTTCAATGACAGAAGATGAGTCCAATAATGAACGTTCCTCACAACCCTCAGGTGACTGAATACTCTGTAAGAAACATTTGAATTTGCTCTAAAGGCATGAAATTGGAGGGAATTAAAAACAAGTTTCAAAATAGTCCCTGTCCTCTTCATCCTGTCCAAAATCGCACATTTATATTTATTTTGTGAAACAGACTTACCTGGTTTTAAAAATGTTGAGAAGACAAGAGTATAAAAGCTGTCTTGCAAATGATAGTTTGTATGGCTGGCTGGCTGTACATTTAGAAGGTCTGGCTAGGAGGATTTATTTATTTAGAATGAGGGCACGTTTTTTCCTATTCTTTATTATTAACTTCTTTTACTTTTCCCTAGCTGCCTTTTGATTTGTTGGCAGTTATGAGTTATAACTGGATTTCTGGATCCCAGGTACAGACAGGCTGGGATAACTTTTGTGTACATCACAGAGACAAAAACCCCTTTTTTCCCCTGTTTAACTATGGCATGCTTAAAGCCTTACCTGAGGTGAGTGTACTTGGTGGTGTAGCTTGAGTCATGGTACTTCCACTTGGAATAACGCAACTAGAAATCTGTAAGAAATGTCTTGAAAGAGTTGCAAAGAAGGTGTTCAGATGTCCATCGCTGGTTTTGAACCTTACCGTCATTTTTCTGGTGAGGCCTCTGATGGAAAGCAATACTAGAAAAATAAGCTATTTTGGAGATCTCTGGAAATTGAAATATTTCATCTGTTTCCTGCAAGCAGACAAAACAGGTGATTCAACTTGACAGAATGTGAACTTAACAGAACTTCAGTTTGAAATTGACTGTGCCTGAGAGGCATCTGCTTCAAGACAGTATGTTCTTAATATTGTCTGTAATGTGTAAATCGTGCTCCGGTGGAGGAAGCACAGTGATTGTGCAGGAGAGAATTCTTTGAGTGTGTGGCTTTAAAAGCGTCTGTCTAAAGGCTGCCATTTGTGATACTAAAAAGTTACTGCAGCCACCAGGTGAAATGGTATAGAACGAGGTCTTCAGAAATCTTTTGGTGAAATGTAAACTTCCTGGGTTTAAATATGTCAGTGTAAGCTGTACTTGAAAACACGCTTCATTTTTAAATATGAAAAGGGCAGCTTTAGGCAAGTTGTTTTTTCTTATCTTTGTCTCTACATTTTACATGACTATTATCGTGATAAATATGGAACCCTATGGACATGTGTCCTGAAATTTGGAATGGAGCATCATGGTGACAGTTTGCTTATATTGCTGCCTCTAATCTTTTAATTTTGGAAGTGAGATTATTTTTTTTTAATCTGGATTTTGAACATCTGGTCAAGCAACACTGTGGCACCAGTATGCTACATAAGTGGTTGTGTTCTTGTTTGTTGCTGCTTTTTTTTTTTTAACTTACCCACCAGTTTTAATTTTTTTTTTTCTTTAAGACAGCTTTTTTCTGTTTTCAAGGTGTAACCTCTCTTGGCCAAGAGAAAACAACAGTGGTTTTACAAAGTTGTCTTTTATAGTGAATGTTTTTTGAGTTATTTTCTTGAGACAGTTAACCAGATGGTTTTTGTTTTGTAAATTCTATTGTTTTCCTTCACAGCAGGAAAAGAACAAATATGGAGTTTCCTGTTTACTTCTAACGATAGTTCAAATAATTTTCCAACAATCTGTTGGGAATTAGCATTCTATTCTGTGGTATGTGTTAAGCATCCTTTTGGTCATCTTTGGTTTGGATCTTCTGTGTGAATGGTGATGAAACACAGTTCTTGTACAGGAAAAGGTTTTATCTGCAGGGTTAGGAAACTGCAACTCTTGCTTTTCCTCTGCGGTGATTTTTGGATGTTTTGTTGTCTTGCTTTGGAACTTGTAATGTAATACACTGTGTTTTATCAGAAGCATGAGACTTTGGAAGTTTTCACATCTTCAGCCAGCTGGAGAGCAGACTTCAGGAGGAAATCTTCCTTATATCTATTTTAAGTATGTCAGTGCTTGTCAAGGTTGATTAATTATCAGTAGCAATAACAGTGCTTAATACTGTATTAAATTAGAACAATTATTAATACTGTATTAAAACAGAACAATTAATGCTTCATGTTTTTGCGATTCTCCTTATACTTAAATTTGTTCATCAGAAAAACAGGGAGGGAAATAAGCTGCATTGATTTTTATAGTTTTTTCCGAACACTCATGTTTTTCCTTATTTTATTGTTGAATATTGGTATTTAGTGTTGGGGGCGAGGAATTTAATGATACCAGTGCAAGCAGTCTAACTTGTCCTTCCTGGTGTCCCAAGAATTTCCAGAGCATACAGCAAATGAGAAGTCCGTAGCTTAAGAAGCAGATACCGCTGTGGTATTTTGATAGCTGCCTTATAGGCAAGAGTCTGTTGTCTTGTTGGCTTTGAATATGATAGATACTGAAATCTGTATATGTAGTCATGACTCTTACTCTCCCCCCCCCCCTTCTTCTAAAAAAAAATTTAAAAATATTTTTCTCTTGAAATTACAGAAAGATGTGGTTATTCATGAAGGGGTACCTTCATCCTGGTGTTCTGAAAGACTTTTTCATTCCTAATAATAAAAACAGCTCTTTCATCTAACTGAAGATTTTATTCTGATACCCTGCTCCATGGAGATACACGCACTTGCCTTCCTGTTTATGCTGCCATTCCTTTTCCTTTTATTTAAGGAAGGGAAGGAGAATAATTCAAAATGCTATGCCACTGAGGAGTTGACTTGACAGAGAACATACTGTGTAAAGAAAAGAGTGTCTTAAGAGAGCCTGGAAAATTGACTTTTTTGTTGGTTTTATTGTATTCAAATAAATACCATACATTCTGGTTTTGCTAGAATTCTTTACTGAGTATTATGTTAGCCATTTGGGAAAGACTGTCATACTTTCATTAGTTGGAAGACAGAAAGGTGTTTTTTCAGGTTTCGTCTCTAAAAATACCATGAAGCACACTAAATGGGGTTTTACAGAGCCTGAAGTTAGTCTAAATCAGTATTCTGGTAGTTCTTTTTTTCCTATTTGTGTTGACCAGGCACTCATGCCTTGATTTGCAGAGCATATATTGCCAACAAAATGTGACCTTTTTCGTTTGCAGAGTTTGGTGGGTTTTTTGGGTGGATCAGCTTTGTGAACTGACTTAAGATACGGTCATCTGAATGGCAGTTCTGATGCTCAGGAGTCTGGGTTTGTCACAGGGAGAATACTGGGTCGTTGGCAGTGCCAGCTTAGTTTTGCTTAAAGTGCTGCAGAAGTGCATTCTGAAAAAGCTTGCTTGTCTTGGGATCCCCTGGGAGGTGTTAGTAGGGTTTTTTTTCCTTTTTTAACTTTTTTTTTTTCCCCCCATCAGCTCTTTCCCATCTGTGTTTTGCATTCTGTGTACACTCTGCGTAAGTTAGTAGGGAAACTGTAAGAGAATGAGGCTGTTTAATTGGTACTGCTCTTGACATTACTGTTGCTGTTATTTAATTAAGGTTTTCTTCATTGCAAAAATATGTTGATCAGATTTTTCATTATCAAAAGAGGGAATATTCTTTTTACTTTCATAAAAGTGACTGTACTAAGGGCTTTGGGGGCAAAAAGTGATGGAGAACTTTAATCTTGAGGCATAGACTTCAGCATACTAAGTTCCTTTGTTTTTTCTATTTTGGCTCTTAGCACTTCCTTCCCTTTGATAAATATTTGAGTTTCTGCTTGTTGTCATGTTACTACTTAGGTTTGTTGCATTAATTTTGGAGCAAAAACTTAAGAAGAAAAATGTTGAGTAAGTTGACTTGATAGGGGAGAATTCTCAATTATGGGTATACTGCTTTCAAATTCGTGTTACTTCAGTGCACTGTAAGCTGGATCCATTTGTTTCTTTTAGAACCCTTGTGCTTCATTAAAAATAGACTGAGAAGTAGAGGGGAACGATAAACCCTCTATTTCTTATGACAAAAACACTTTGTCTTTTTAGGAAAACTTCTCTTTACAGGTAATTTTCTCTCCCCTTATGAAAAATTAACTCATGTCTTTTCCTCTGAAGTGTAGTTTGTGTGATAGGGCTGGCCTTCATCCCTTTGAGGCATGAACTGATTTGCCAAGAAGCACTCCACCTGAAGCTTCTGCTGTGTTTAGCTGCTTGCAGGGTTCCTTCTTTCAGGTTGCATGCCGTTAATTCCTTTGGGAATATTCTGAATGTCCAGCAAATATGTTAGCAGCAACCATCTGACGTTTCTGTCATCCATCGCAGTGTCTATCAATTAGGTGAACCAAAAGATCTGCATTACTGTATTAGTGTGGTGGGGAAGTGTTTATAAGCTCTAAAAATGGTTCCCCTTACTTGTAGAACACCTGTGCAGATTCCTACAGCAAAAGAGTGTTCATCCAGTATGTGAGGCTGCAGAATTTGTCACTTACCACTACTGTACATGTATGACAAATCTGTCTTGTCTTTTTGTCCATTCTAGCTGTCATGCTTTAGGCTAGGAATGGCTGGAGTGACACATTGCAGCTAAAACCTCATGTGTGGAAGACGAGTTGTTTGACTGATATGCATGGAGTATGTCGTAATAGTTTTTACAGCAGTTTTTCTTGGTGGGAGGAAAGTGGTTCGTGTTGACGTGACACGAGTCCAGCGAAAGAGTTTTCTTCAGCATAGAGGAACTTTTCGGGTTTTCCTGTGCGTGTGTTCTTCCAACGTGGCTGCAGATTTTTCTCAAGTAATGGTGTGTGGAAGCGTGTGCATTTCGCCACCAGCGTGGGGCCTCAGTACAAGTTAATGCTGGTGTTCTCAGGGAGAGGTTCTGCGTACAGCGACTGAAGGGGGATTTGGTGGCGCCCGCAGTAGGCAGATGTACCAACTAAAAAGTTAAATAAATAGATAAGGTACTGTGTTCTCTAGACAAGAATTTTATTTTGGATGTAATATTTTTGCCTGAATGACTATTTACTGTTTATTTGTGAGTTTAACACACCAGATCACACTTTTAAATTTCATGTTTACTAACTTATGAGAGAATGACAACATTTGTTGCCCACAGATTTATGCTTGCCATTGTTACTAAAATACGTTACACAAGCAAGTAGTTTAGGATCGCAGTGCGAGTGCTGTGTTTGTAATGTGCGTTCAAGAAAAGGAAAAGCATAGTAAGAAATTGGTAAGATGCAAGCTTTCTCTTCAGTGTATGCTTTATTTCTTTGTTTTGTTTAAAGGAGCTTTGAGCAAATCTTAAGATTTCTTTTTGAGTACTTGAAGTAAAGAGGGATCAAAGATTTCTTTTAAGGCTTTAGATTTCTTTTAGAAGTGAATTACGTTTCATGTTTTTCAGGGTTTTATGGTTCTTTGGTAAAATATATTTGGCTTGTAATTTACCTGCAGTGACAGGTGGAGGTCTCTTAGAGGCTGTAGCACCCTTTCTTCTCTCTTCCTCCCAGCACTACTTGACATGGTGTTGCATGATGTAGGAGAGCTTACACAGCCTTGTTCTAGCTTTTCAAAGTTCAGATCAGTGCCAAGGCTGTCTCTGGTTTTCAGAGAAATTACAAAAAAAACCCAACCAACCCATCCAAAATGAAATGTTAATTGGGGGCTAGGGAGCATATTCTGTTGTTGTGAACATTAATGTGATAATTTCCACTTTGTTTGCATTTGTTTGTTTTAGGAGCAACAGAAGGTGATCAGCCTCCACATGCTTCATCGTCTTTCTCCTCCTCTTCATCCTCTTCTGGGAGCAGGCAAAGAGCTGAGATTGGATCTTTCCTTAGAAGAAAGAAAACTAGTGATATTTACTTCGTTACACTTGTGTGGGCCATTGTCATTGTCCAGATCTGGCTGAATTTCTGGATTGTGCAGCTATTGCCGGTGCCTTTTGCAGGTAATAATCCCATTATTAGAAATGTGTGTTAAATGATGACATTGGATAGCCTTAGGCTTTGTGTTAAATAAGATAGATGGAAAGGCTTGTAGGCTTGTGTGAGTTTTAATTCAAAGCTTTTTCAAGACACTTTGTTAAGATGAATTGTAGCTTCAAATAGGAAGATTGATGTGCACTGTTTGTTACCATGTGGTGGACAGCTCTGTAAAATCGCTTTGTCTGTTGACTGTTGTAGTTACTTGGAATAATTCAGTGCCGTACCTTACATTGTAAGAATACGTCGGTTTGAGAGTACTTTCTTTTTCTTCCACTTGATGTCATGTCTTTCATGTTTTTGCACCTACAGATAAAGAATATTTTACCTGTTATTTGGTAGTGAAGTACAGCTCATGTTAACTTGTAATTTCCATTAAAAATGAGTTGCTAGGCTTTATGGACAAGTCACGAGAGAAATTAGATTCTAATTCTAGCTCTGAGGTTAATTAGCTTTGTTGCTTCATATCTACATGCATCTATTCTCTTACATATTGAGCAAGAATGGAGTAGTTATGATCGCTATCTAAAGAGGTTATTTTAAAAATGAGTGCCACTTTTTCTAATACTCTTTTGGGGGGTGAATAGGGAGGATGGGAACTCTGGAAATACACGTGAGCTGCAATGAATCTGAAGGCATTTCCTCCCATCCCCCTACTGTAAACAAAGTGAGTTTCCTAATTTGCTTTGGTTTTTCTCTCAACTTCAATTAAAATGCTAATTTCCAGCATTTTAAAAATGCATTTAACACTTAAATGTAGCTGCTTTTACCAAAGGTGGGTTGGCCCCAGCTAGCAGCCAAGTACCTACAGAGCAAATCACTCTTTTCCTGTCTTCTCACCCATGAGCTACAGTCCCTTTGGGGAGGTACCACCCTGGGTGTCTCCTCATCCCTAGTCCCTTCAAGAGGCATACCTGCGTCGGCATGGGTCCTCCGTAGGACCCGGTCCCTCTGAGAGGTGTGCCTGCTCCACCATGGAGCACTTCTACTGCCCTGGCCTTTTTATTCCCCCTGTTCATCCCTCTGTCTCTTCTTTGCTGGTTCTCTCTGTGTTCCCTCCTCTTCTCCATCTCTCGTGTTTTCTGCCCTTTCTTAAATACATTTTCCCAGGGACACCACACCTATGCCTCATGGCCTCCACTTTGGCCTGTGGTGGGTCCATTGTGGAGCCACCTGGAACTGACCTTGTCTGGCACAAGGAAGCTCCTGGTCTTTCCCCACAGAGGCCACCCCAGTGGCCACCCTGCTACCAAAACGTTGCTATTTATACCCAATACACAAAACCATTATAAACTGTTGTGCATCTGGAAATCATGACTGTGGGGCTATGCCTGTAGGTTCGAGGGGCTGTGAGCTCTGAGCGGCATGGTGGAAAGAACAGCTGCATGTTTGGCTGTGGCAGTGTAGCAGCAGCTAAAGGGTAATGGGATGGTTAGGCATATAAATAGCTGAATACAGGGTAAGAGGAGAGAGAGATTTGATCTCTGTTTCATTCCAGTGTGGTTGCGACAAGAAACTGCCCAGTTTTGGTGTCTGGGCGTCATGGGAAATGGCGATGGCAGGTTGGATGTAGCTCACAAATAAATCATTAAAATGATTTTAGACTCACTGGAAGCAGAGCTTACATGGCTTAATTTATTGAAGAGAAAAGTCAAGGAGTGACTTAAGCACTGTTTAGAAATACTTGGGTGGGAGGAAAAATGGATGCAATAGTTTTGCAGTTAGGCAGACAACAATGAATGGTTTTAAGCTTGAGCCAGACAAATTTTGATTAAAATGTACATCTATAGCTGAAATGGATGAATAGTGCTGCTACCAGTCATTAGGTCTAAAGTAGCTAGCTGAACAATAAACTCATGCCAAAACAGAAATAAATTTTGAGAATATTTGTGCCTTTGTTGCCTTAGCGGTGACACTGGGCTTTTTCTTGGCGTGTAGCTGAATATAACTACATCACCACAAAAAATACAAAAAAGCAGTATAATGATGAACAGAGCCAAATTTAGAACAGTGGATCACATTAAGTGTCAGAAAGTGAATGATGATAACCTGGGTTGTTAAAAGAGAGGTGGTATTAAAAATATTTAGTAGTGGAAAATAGGAAGACTTATAAAGCCAGTTTCCTTGCAACTGTTCAAGTTTAAAGAGGCTAAGAACTTTAAGCCCTTCTGAGACTTTAAGGAGAATGCTTCTAGTATGTAAAAAATGAAAATAAAATAACCCCCCAAATCTGTAAATGGAAAGGTGTTAATTTCACCAGAGTTCTTTATATTGGTAGGCAGGACTTGCATGAAGTAGCATTTAGATTTCTAGAAATAGCTTGGTACTGTTAACATTTTTCCTTGAATGCGTTTGTACTTAGGTAGAACAAGATGCTCTTTTAAAATTGCTTGATGTAGAGGGTGGAAAAATTATACTGTAATTATACCACGAAATGAAAAGGTGAAAAACGACTTTTGAATTCAAAAGCTCAGTAATAAACCAGGTTGTGGAACACTTGTAGCATTGTGTTCAGTGATGTGAGCCTGAGATTCCTGGTATTCTCATTTTAAGATCTTTCATTTACTTCCTTGCTTCTTCTGTTGCATCACTTTTTTAATTGTATTTTTGTCTTCAGGTCATTTTCTGCTTCCTGGAGGTGTTTGGAATTTCTTACTATTCAGCCTTTCTCTTCTTTTGCTTACAACTTTCTTAATAATAGTCCTCCTTTAGCTTTTTCTCTCTTGCCTCTTTTTGACCTAATATAGTTACAGCTGTGTGCTTGACTGTAGCACCTCCTGACATCACCTTTGCAACGAATGTACACTCAGTTATTTTAGAAGATACTATTTAAACACTTATTTTTAAATAACAGCAGAAGGTTAGAATGCCATTTCAGGTATGTTGCTCACCTTGTAAAATGCAAGCTTGCCCTGTTTTGCTGGGCAGCGGTTTGTGTACTTACCATGAGTTCAAAACTCATACAAAACTTCAACCTGTAAGTTAGATGCTGGCACTCGTACTGTATTTTCTCTCTTTTTTTTTTTTTTTTTTTTCACATGTTTGTCATACGATCTTTAGTAGAAAGACTTTTAGACTAGTCTTTACTTCTTCAAGAGACTAAGTCCCGTATTTGCCACATGGTGGTGCCAGAGGGTAAGTAAACCAAATGTCAGCAAATTGTTGAAAGCTGTCCATGGACGAGAACCTAAACTATTACTCAGGTGGTTTACAGGTAATAGGCTCTTGTGGAACTTTGCTAAATGCCCTGTGGATATTAAAAGTTAAGGTTTTCGGCTATGTATGTCATTTTACGCATCTCCAAATGGAAGCATGATGGGAATTTTTGAGGATGAGGGAATTACTGTAGTGTTGATGAATGGCAGTAAGTGATGAACTAGTTTGGAGAATAGTCTTACATAATTAAAAAAGCTTTATTAAAAGTACGCTTGAATGTAACGATGGGGAGTTCAGTATGAAACGTTGCTGTAGTAGGATATAGTTGGAGGAGTACTGCTAGCGCTTTCACAGGAAATTATTTTACTGTGTAAAATTTTTAACATTGACTGTAATTTTTGATCTACATGTGATGTTCACTGTTAATAAATTCTACTTTTAAAACAGTTAAGGAGAAATTAGGGGAATTACATGATTCTGTTGCTAATAGTTTTACTTTGTTTTCCTTTAGACCCGTAGTTTTTAATATTTGGGGATGCAGCATAATTTTTTTTAGTTTGTGTATCAGTAGTTTGGGGCAGGACTGGGTTGTGAGATCTTCCAGTCTATTAATGCTACATATAATAATTATAATTCTTTAAGTTGATGTATTTTGTAATGGTGGTTTTGTGACTGGTATGTTTGCATCAAAACTCCAGTAGAATCAGTTGCAATGCAGATCTTAGTTTGTAATGTGAATTAATCAGCTCCTCTGTTCTGCTGTTAAATTTTCTGGTGGCTTTGGGAGATTACTTGCTTTTCTTCTTTTCAGTGACAAGAAGGTAGATAAATTGAGTGGTGTAACATTTTGTGGGAAAAAAAAAAAAAAGATTATGGCAAATATTTAATGATTATTAAAGGTCAATTAGCTTCCAAAGAAAGTTTCATATGTATCATGCTTTTTTTGCTTTTACATTCCTGATTGTGATGGTTCACAAAATCTGCACATATACTCGGTAAGCGAGGGAGAGCAGTGCCATCGCAGAATTGGGACCATAGGCCTTATGCAAAAGTCTCTGGGCTTTATTTCATGGCGAGTAAACAGACGTGAGCTTTTATTTCCTTAACTGTAATGCTCGCCATTTCTAGTGTTGTTGAGAAGCTCTTTATTTTACAGTGGGTATATGTTAGGAGTGTTGGAGGAAGGCTGTTTGTGATAGCAAAATGCTTGGTTTTTGGGGGAAAACAGGTTGTAAGTATTTTTTCTGTGGGCTGGTTTTGAGGAGCAGTCTGGATTTTTCTAAGCTTAGTGTGGTCGTCCTCAAGCCAAGATAAGAAAACTGATCTCAAAATAATGTTTTTGAAGTTTAAAAGCAAAATTAATCGGTAGTTGTATTCCAGTTGAAAGTTTAAATGAACACTTCTTTACTGTGAAATTTCACGTGACCTGCTGTCAGTTCTTAAAGGAAAGATACAGCTTTAACAGTATAGAAGACCCAAAAACCTAAAAGAAAATTTCGAGCCCTAATTCTTATGTGTAACATACTGTTAAATTCTGAATGTGATGTTTTATGTGTAGTGTGGCAGGGAGTATGTGTGAAGATGTGATAAATCCACTGTACCGGAATCACGGAACGGCACCGGCTTATCCCAGGCCTTGCTCAGGACTGTTAGGTGCCTGCACACTACCCGATTGTGCAGCTTTCTTCTATTGCCATCTAAATTCCATGTGGATAAGCGTGGCTGTAAAGCAAGTGAGGAGATTAGTACTAAAACCATTTGAAAATTCTGGAAGTGGTTTCTAATGGGAAATAAAACTCAAGAATCTTTTCCTTTCTTTTTCATAGGTCTTCCAGAACGGAACAGATGTGTAGTCTTGTGGTGCTCCTCTGAAATATCTAACACTTAATTTTCTTCTTGTGGTTACAGTTTGGGCACTTAAAAAACTCGTGGTTCACTTTGGAGTTTTGAACTTCATGGCAAACCACTGCAAAAGTTGGTGGCAACTTGTGGAAAATTTTGTGAAGGAACGTCAGGAAGCTCTTGCTCCACGGCCCATCAGAGGGCTCGGAAGAGTCATGCTAAAGCTTGACAGTAAGGTATTTCTACTTATTTCCTTAAGCAACCTGAAAGTTTGTTTTATTCTCTGTTCACTGTATGCTGAGACGCTTTAATTCTAAAATAAATGTCTGTCACTAATGGACGTGTCTCATGTAAAAATATATCTGTTTTATGGTGTATTTTAAATCATGTCTCTTCTGTCACTATTCACACTTAAATATACATTTAAACTTTGTTAAATGACTACATGCAAAGCTTGACAGAAGTCATGTTTTAACTGTTGAGTTACCTTTAGAAGATTCTTTACCTGAGTAAGGCAAACTTCTCATGGTTCAGTCACCTTACATGATTATAAAGATTTTGAATTTAAACTTAATGAGCTTTAATCTGAATGGTGAGATGTTCCTACTTCTGTTGTGAAAACTTAACTTAAAAAGCAACCCATTTTATTCTGTAAGTAGGGCCTGAGCTAGTTTGAACGCTCTTACTTATACTATCTGTATAATTACAAGTACAGTTGTTGAACACAGCGGCACAGTGGTACAGAAGGGAGGCTTCCCTCTGTAAGAGAAGAAATATATGGGATGAGGTATTTGGGAAGTGCCATAGAATAAGGCTTCTGTGCTTCCCTCCCTTCTCCCCGACTCAAAATGCACCCACGTTTGCATTGCAAATTGCAGAGTTGGAAAGCTCCGTAAAGTTTGTGAAGGCTTCTTCATTCAGAATTGTCAGTTTTGACGTAACCTGGTAGATTATTTTGTTTGTAATGGCTATGCTAGTGTGTAAGAATGTGCTTTTTGTAACTGTGTTGTTGAAGTATTCTCTGCTTTAGAAAAAGCCATTACCTCGGTTTCTATAACTGAAGAGCTGAACCCTGTAAGTACCTTTGTCAGAGCATCTGTACCTCGGCACATTTATCTGCGGTTTATAGCTCTGAATTCCTATAGGAAAAGGAAGAGCTTAAGCTCAGATCTAATGGGTAAATCGATGTCAAAAGGTCAACGAAAGCATTAAAATGACTGTAGGAAATAAGTAACCATTTCACAGAGTTCATTGAGGAAGAATTTGAAAAAGGAAAAACCTTTCAGAATGCAGCTATGAACAAGATAAAGGGGGTTTCTGAAAGAATTAGAAACTATTAACATGTTACACAAAGCTTTTCATTAAGAGCTTTTGTTTTTTTAAGTAAGAAGACTCTAGACGCAATATTGTACGTGTTGTATTCATGAGTTGTCAAGTTTAGTATCCTTTTATTGCATAACTGTGTGATATAGTACCCTTCCTAATTCCGCTAAGTCTTTTCTCCTTAAAGAAGGTAGGGCTTTTGTCGTAATGTGCAGCAGAACTTCCCACTCTTCGGCTTAAATGTATTTAAGGTCAGTTTATATTCATGTTGTTCTTGTCTAAGCAAAAGGACAGTGTTGGCATAACGCATTTCTCCATCTCCCCTCTTCCTCCCATTTTTTAGATGACGGTCATATTCTTTCTGAGTCTGTGCTGTGTGTATTAAAGCAATTCAAGCTCTTCTGGCTGTTATAAGAAGGACACTTGATATTCTGCATGATTCTGTTGTCCTCGTTTGTGTCTTTTCTAATTACAGTTCACCTGGATATGCTTATTCTGTGCATTGTAGGATCATGGATGCATCTTGCCTCTGAGAATGTGGGAAGCAGTGCTACAGGCACAGAATTGGCAATTCTGATTTTGGGAGGGGGGTTGGGAGAGGAGAGGAATGAAAATGACATCCTTGCAAGTTTTTTAGAAAGGATGGATGAGCTGTATTTAAGTTGGATTACCAAACATTCTGGCTTCAATAGGCACTCTTGAAGAGGAAGTAAAAGTACACAAACATCGAATAGAAATTCACAGAGTAAATTGTTACAGCTTACCTTTTGTGTGTGTGTGTGAGAAACCAAGATTGAACGATCGTTTCCTTTGCAATTAGGTGTTTAACTTCTTAATGTTTTGTTTATACTTTCTTTTCCTGGGAACTGAATCTGCTTAGTAATTCTTTTTGCTTGTGGGGTTGGTTTTTTTGTTCGTTTTTTTGTTTTTGCACACTGAGTTAATTGGGAGGCTGAATCTCAGTATCAGGATGTATTTGGAGTCTTAGCTGAGTATAACAAGCCATTGACAAGATCTGTTTCACACAAGTATCTAGTGGTACTACTTGATCTTTCTAAAGTGATACGCCCGATTAGGAAATAGTTCCAGTTTTGAGTAAAACGTAGTGAGGACATGGAAGACATCTTCGAGTGGCGTGTCATCTTCTCCCAAACAACGTTTAGGAGGCTAGTGTAGATGGTCTGGAAAGTAACCCATTATGAGAAATTATGTGAGAGTACTGCTCATGCATGCAAGTCTTTGAGCTTTCCTGATTATGTCTGTTTCTTAAATAAAAGCAGTAAGAAAAGAACGGCTTATCTTCTTTTCCCACTGCTCATCAACCTCTGGTTATCTTGGAAATGCAGACAAACATGAACTGAAGTGAAGTTCTGATCAAGAGGAAAGAAAGTAGGGCATCGCTTTTCATTTTCTTCATAAACAGTAGGTCAGGCTGTGCCTGTATGTGCAGGTCTGCTTTAAATATGGAAATAGGCTGTTCTTAACCGTGTTCTTTAGACCCTGGTTGTGCGTTTGCCCCCCGGAGCCAGCAGATGCAACGGTTCAGATAGGAGAGACTTCCTGCAGGAAAGAGTAGGGAGGTTTCTGTTGTCTCCATTAAGTCATCTTAAAACTTAGTAGCTATGGTATTGTGCATGTTCTTATCAGCAGTCAAGAACTAATAATTTGCTTCACTGATAATTTTTTTTTTTTCCCAAGGAAAAGGAAGACTTACCTTTTAATGTGGTGACTGCAGTTTTATTTTGATTAGAGTTTGCAACCGAGTTCAGCAGCATAGGCAGTTGCTCAACTGCATGCACTGGACTTTTGTTAATTAGAATGTGCTGGTATCTTGCATGCATGCTTCCTGATAGAATTCAGTGAATCATGTAGTTAACATGCTTTCTGTAGGTATAGCGTTCTAGAATTTTATATATGGAGGACTGTAACAGATTGCTTTGGACTTTACCCAAAGTCAAGGTTTGATTCTTCTGGTACCAAGTTTGGCATGTAGATATAGCAACCACAGAAAATGGGCAAAACCTCTACCAGTGCATATATTATTCTAGGAAATAATTCCATAGACATGTAAAATCTTATATAATAGTTTTCCAATAAAATACTGGAAAAGTGGCTGTAGCCTTATTAATTTTGGATGACTTGAAGATTAGGATTAAGCTGTAGCCTGTTTTTAAATGTAGATAGATTGCCTTTGTAGAACTACTTAAATATCAGTATTGGTGAGATAGTAGGCAGGTGGAGCCTCTATACTCATTGTGAGCTAATACAATTTCTGGCAGCTGGTGAAAACACTAGATTTGTTGAGCATTGAATGATCTTGTTTTCAGGAACAAACTTCACTTACTTGATCTTAACCTCTTACACAGATGAGCAATAATGTTAAAGCTTTTCACTGTGGTGATAATGCTGCTAACTGATTACTAACAGCTAGAATTAAGAGTATAATCCTGCATAAACTAGGTCCTAAAATGAGTGTGCTTGAGCAGTATGGATGAGAATTAGTAAGGAAACAACTGTAGTACAAAAGGAGAAACTCACTGTTGAGAAATGCAAAGAGCCCTCTGCACAACCAATAAAATTATATGAAATCCATACATTTACTTGATCTACAATTTGCTGTGGTGTGTGTATCGGATTTAATTACATATTTGATGTTGTGACGTTGAATGTGGATGTTGTAGTATGAACGTGGTACTAAAAAAAAGTATAAAATTTGTTTAACAGTAGTTGACATAATAGTGTTTTGAAATACATAGGAATCTGCCTGAATGGGAGTATTAATGCAATAAACAAGTATCTCACATTAAGTTTTGGTGTTTCAGTAAAGTGCCCTACTCAGGATACCCTTACAATTCCTGCTCTGAAATCTGAACTGTTAGCTGCCAGTATAGTTAAACCAGAATTGCCTGGATTATGCTGATAGCTATGTTAATAATATTAAAGTTGTTTGTATTTGTTATATCCCTCTTTGTTTCAAAAAGTGCATGTTAATAGTAAAATCTAGATTCTTGCATTAGACGTTGTTATGATCTTCCTATTGCAATTTACCTTTGTGTCTGAAACAATTTCATTTTCATTCTGTGGATGACTTTGCCTGCCTCTCATTGCTTTTTTTCCCTCTCTATTACTGCATTTTTCAATAATTTTCCACTGTGTTCTTGTCTTTTTTCCCCTTTTCTTCCATCTCCCCCTGCCACTGACAAGCTGTGGCACTGGCTTAATAAGAAGGTAAATAAACAGAAAAATTGTGATTCCAACTAATGGATTCTGTGGTTTTGGGAAGGTGTCTTTTTGGTTTCTTTTTTTTGCAGCATGATCACTCCTTAACATGCCTTGCTTCCTAGTTTTTTCTCCCAAATGTTTCTTTTCCAGCTCTTGATATAAGCTACTGAAGGTCATATAATGCTACCTGATCTCTGTGCATTCATTTTAGTACAAGACAATAGTTAAATGTTTTGTACAGCAGAATTAACCTTTCAAGTGGTAGTTTGATTTAGTGGCACTTCTGTTTAAGAACTCCACCTGATCCCCACTTGTGTGCATAACAAAACCAGTTTTCTCCCGGAGTGGGGAGCTGTTCTCTGCTCACAGAAGGCATCAGTTAACTGAATTAAGGTGGGAGTGGTGAGGGTGAAGCACAGGTGTGAAGCTGTGGATATAAGTGCTTGCAAATAGCGCATTGACTGGCTTCGATCAGGGCTGTCAGTCTCTTACTTCTGAAGTGTCAAACTCGCCTGTGTAGTCAGTGGTGTTCAGTGTAGCAGGAGTGAAGTGTGAATACTTATGGTCTCAGAACTGAGTCTTAAGAGAAATAAGGGCTGGTAAAAAAAAAATAATTAAAAATACAGTTAAAGCAGTTGGTATAGCTGAAATATTTTTTTCTTCTGTATGGCTTTTAAGTGTGCGGTGTGTTTTATAGGAAACGCACTCCTCAGTTCCCATGGTTCACCTTAGTCAACTAGGGTTAACTGTTGTTCTTTGGGGAAGTGTCATCCCAAGAGAAGGCAAAACTGATCCAGTCCGTGTTTGGCCTCGTGTGACTGAAATCTGGGCAACTCCTCAGTGCAGTGATACCTCTGTGTCATTGCTTCAGACAAGCATGGAGCTGGAGAGGGAAGCCTCTAGCATGTGTATCTGCAGGACCTCAGAGTTTTAAAGGTGAAAATCTAGTACGTGGTAAAA